TGGATGAGATACCCACAGACGACGGTGAACCAGTCGCACAGCACGATGCGGTTGTACCCAAGAAACCATCGACACGTAAAACTAAGCAGCAACGAGCAAAGGCGCTGCGATTGCGCGAGGAGGTACGCCTTTCGGAGATTCCTTACCATTGCCGCTGAGCTTGCACCAGAAACGAGCCTTGGCAGAAAAGGCGGCAAGAAAAAAAATGCTTGCTACGATAACAATGGTTAAATCTCTCCGTTCAACTGCGGAGAAAGTCGGCCAACAACAAAATCAGCGCGATTGGCAAGGCAGTTGGCGCTAAAGATGAAGCTTAGAAAGGGTCTGGCTGGCCAACGGCTAGGGAAATATAAAGTTCCTGAAAATGAAATCGAGGTTCAGATTGGGGAGGATCTGAGCGAAAACCTACGAACGCTGAAGGTGCGTCAACTGCACCAGTTTTGTCGGCATTGCTGATAGCCTCCCATCAGCCCGAGGGCAACTTATTCCGTGATCGCTTCCGTAGCATGCAGCAAAGAGCCCTCATTGAGCCTCGCGTACCAATCCTGTGAGTATTCGTGATATGTCTCAGCGCAGTTTTTGACGTCCTTTACCCTGTAGCCCAACCAAGCGAGCGAAGCTGAAAGAGTTCGAGAAGCACGCCTGGAAAAGATTTGAGTAGCTAGTATTACTCTTGTCCTATGCTACCGGCCTTCAAGTGTTGACAGGACGCACTTGCCTCCAGTGCATGTTGTACTACATCAGTTGCATTGCATGTTTCGGCACTTGTACTTTTTGCAGTAAGTTTGGTGAGATTTCGATTTTCTGCGACAGGGCTTGCCCTCGACTCATCTCCCCTACCTCTGGGTGCGGCTCTTCCGCCAGACGTGCATATTTCTATGACGTTGTAGTGTGCTTCAGCGCTGATCACAATGATTCCCCGGTTCAGCGCGCCGGTCATATCAAAGTTAATGGCCAGCCGATTATTGCACGCGTCACGACTCGCGGAGGTGGACGGGCACGCATGGAAATCATGCCTTCAGCAAAAAGATGCATGTATGCTCACCTCAGGGCACCTTATCCATTGATAATCACGGTTGGACAGCTGCATCTTTGAAATGTCGAGGCGCCACATCTAATGTTCAGGTGTTGCCCGCCGAAAAGAAAACTCGGCTGGTTCATGGCCCCAGACAGTGACTATGTAGCAAAGACTTGAGACACAACTCAGCTGCCAGAACCGTTGAGGGCGGCACAGATTGAGTACCAAAAAATGGACACTGTGGGAGTTGAACCCACGACCTTACGCAATCACGGTTTGCGAAGCGTACGCGCTACCAACTGTGCCAAGGGCCCGCGTGTGCTAAATGACCTAAGCAATACATCATTGGCTGAATCATTGCAGCTTGCAATTGGGACTCGACCACGTCCGTTTCCTACTCAAGTGTCTTACGGATGGACATTGATTATATTGAAAACGAAATCTCCCAATTGCAACCTCCCGCAATCCAGAGGAGACGAATCCGACCAGTGGACGATGCTCATCCTTTTGATCTAGACGCATACATCTCGGGATATTCTGGTATGATATTAAACGCCCCTCTTGATGCACTAACTTAGATCGATATTTCCGACTCTTTGAGGGTCGTACTGCATTTGACAGGCTTGTCCACATTATCTCAACATGTCCGACTTTGGCACCACAGGCACTAAGCTGGCGTTCGCGCAGATCGAGGGGCTTCGCGATCCAACCCTTTATCAGACTGCGATGAACGCATATGATGCTGTGGCGGACCTTCCAGAGGTGCAGCTCCCTCCTAGCGAGTTTTGTTCAGTGAATACGGTGTGGTGCGAAGAAGTTACGAAAAAGAATCAAGCGGAGAGAACGAAGCTGGAGGTTGAGCTGAAGACGTATTCTAACAATATGATTAAAGAGAGCATAAGGGTACGGCCAGCATCTTGATTCTTTCAGAGACTCTAAATATTATCTCTCCGTCAGATGGGCCATAGGGACCTCGGTGATTTTCTACCGCGCTACTGGAGACTATACCCAAGCACTCAAACATTATACGAAATCAAGGGAGTTCTGCTCAACCAGCCAGCACGTGCTTGACATGTGTCTTTCTGTGCTAGAGGTAGATTTTAGTTCATTGGTATTAGTGTCCTGTCGTTCATGCCTCCCATAGCTTGTGATCGAACAACGCAATTACTCACACATATCTTCCTACGTCTTTAAGGCGGAGGGCGCACTTGATACGGCAAGCGCAGCAGCAGCAATCCAACACTGCTCCTGGTTCCAACAACATCTCAGCTGCCCCGCCACCTAAAAGGTCAGCAGAGCGTGACCAAGTACAGTCCCAAGCTGGACTTTGCGATGGCTTTGTTTCAACTGGGGCAAGCCAACTATGAAAAAGCTGCCCAACTTTTCCTGAAGATTGGCCCTCCGGATTCTCTTGGTGATTGGATTGGCAAGGTAGGTGAGATTATTTATCCAGTCGACCTTTGCTTACGCTCTTCTAGCTTGTCGCTCCCGGTGATTTTGCGATATATGGGACTCTATGTGCTCTTGCTAGCATGTCGCGATCGGCAATCAAGTCTCAACTTACGGGAAACGCTATTTTCTCTGCGTACATTGAGCAAGAACCATATGTTCGAGACTTGACCCAGTCATATCTTTCAAGCGATTTCAAAAACGTCCTGGAGCTTCTTGAGCGGTACTCGGTATGCTTACTAAGTCTCTTAATATCTATAATTCTGAGTCGTCTTTCTTGCACCAGACGCGCCATTATGTGGACATTCATATGTACTCACATGTATATGACCTGACGAACCTCATTCGTAATGTTGCGGTCGTGCTTTACTTCCAGCCATTCCAGACCATTCGCCTCGACAGAATGAGCGCCGCATTCGGCTGGACCGTCGATGAAGTTGAGAAGGAGGTAGTTGCGCTCATTCAAAGCGGTCAGATCCAAGGCCGAGTTGACAGTCAGAACAAGGCCAGTGAAGCTTGTTGGCATAGCTATACAGAGGAGATTACTGACACCATCCACGCTACAGATCCTGAAAGCGAGAAAGGTGGATCATAGAGCCGAATTGTTCGCGCGTGCCATAAATACCGCTGCTGAGATACAAAGTACCAATCGCAAGCTACTGCTACGGATGCGTTTGTGAGTATATATGGGATATGCGCAGGTCACGCTCTAATCTGAGTTTGTAGGCAACAAGCAGATTTGGTGGTGAAGCCGCCAAAATCGCGCCGCGAACAAGATCGTGCGGGGGAGCTTTTGCAGGGCGATTGACAGCTATAAGATGGTGAGGCTATTGTACTGTATTTCTACTGCATGGTCAAACTTTATATCATGATCATTTCTGACGGCTAACAGCGATGAAGTTCTGCGTAAGATTTGCTCCACTGACATTCCATAGTTCAAAGGCGACCTCTCGGAGACTGCTCTTTCTGAGACCTCATGAGGTCGAAGCGTTTTGGGAAGCCGAGCGACATCACATGACAAAGGACAAGTAGAAGGAGTTCTCTGGTTTCCGACTAAACGAAAATCATTAGGGGCAATTAAATTACAGCTTCATGAGAACAGGCTAAATAAAGGAAAGGAGAGGATTTGAATAGCCCAGTTGACTGCTCGCAAAGCCGGCTACTTATGACTGAATGCGTGCCTCCTAGGTCCCCCTGTGGCGAGCAGTCTGTAGATTTCGCACGGTCTACGTCCTCGACAAGCTGCCGCCTACTACTGGTTCAATCGAGTGTGGCAAAGGCTTTGTCACACTGCATGCACTGGCTATTCCCGTCATCCCTAAGGACGTCGAAGACAAGAATACGTCTGTGCCGGAATAATCAGCGTTTAGGAGACTCAGAAGAGAGCATGCGTCAGACATGACGCATATGCGCACGGACCAGCTTGAAGACGCCTAAACCGAGTGCGAGTGTTGATTCATTTGAATCGATTAAAATTGCGGTGCCAACATCCATGCACATGTCCATGTCCCGTACACTCGTGTACCTTGTTCAACAGTATCACAAGTTGTTTGGGTCGTCGTTAGTACAATGAGCTAATTACGTACTACTACTAGTACGAGCATCCTTGCCTCGCGGTCGGTGGCTGAAGCGCTAACTAAGCCTAGACCAATGGACTTGGCAACACCAACTATAAAGTAGGGCGATACTAGGTTCTCTGTTCTTTACATTCACCCACCATCATGGACGGATCGTATGTACCACCAAAATTGTTCCCAGACAGTCACGGTGCCAGTCAGGGTATACACTGGCAGCCCTTCAAACAGAGGATAGACAAGGGGAAAGGAGTCGGTTAGTGTACTCCACATACAGGGACGTTATCGTTCATAATCTATACAGATCGACCAGTCGGTATTGGCGATAGCAGTTGGAATCGTTTTGCCCAGGGCTCATCCCGTGCATCTGCACCATCGATCACGATCGACGAGATGGACGACGACGATGAGCCCTTGACATCACAAACACTCTCAATGTTTACAGGTGATACAGCAGACTCTACCCGCATGTCTGAGGATTCGGACGACGACCTCTATCAATCAGTAAGATCCGATAATGCAGAAGACTTTGTAGGTCCACTTCCTTCAAGTCTAGGCTTGCGGTCATCATAATGTGGGCTGGAGTTCTCACGTTCTGATTCAGATGGACGTGGAAGATTCCTCTCCGCATAGTGATGCTCGCGACCTTGTCCAGTCGATTAATGGGATGTATCGGGTCCTGGATTTGATCAATGAACAAGGGAGTGGTGGGCTAGGTATCTTCACTATCCTTGACAACCCTCGCCTTCGCTGACTTGTAGTTTTAGTGGACAAAGTTATCATAGCGCAGGATTCACTCCGTGCATTTATCAACAGTGTTTGTCCGGGCACATATGTGTCCATGACAAAAGTCAACTTTAGCGCTCTAGACCGCTTCATCGTGAAGCCTGTTGGCGTGTACGGCAGTAAGAGTGAAATTGTGCGACTCTTGTCATCTCTGGGTGTCGTCGACGAGGAAATGTGAGTTCAGTACCGGTATTCAAATCGACACTTTGATAAACTTTATTCTGTAGCGCAAAACAACTCATCACGAACCAAAGTGACTCTCACGTTTCAATGCCGAGTCTTCGTTCTGGACTGTACATCGTTCGTGCAGTTTGCGAGGCTACACCTGACCAACAGCTTTTCCTCATCTACTGGCCGGAGGATTCAACCTGGGATGACTCAGCCCCTTCGTCTGTGAGACGCAACCGCGTGACCTTCATGAGGTCCGTCAAGTCTTTCTGAGTTTAGACACTGCTCCTAACTAAAACGCCAGATACCTCATGAAAATGTGTGATCAAGTCACAGCACTTATTTCCCCAGAGCATGCTCGATCGATCGTGTGGAATGACCAGGAAGGCGAAGACGCCATCATGGATCTGGACGAAGACCATGATGAGTCCAGTAGGCTGTTCACATTTGAAGTCGCGAAAACCAACGAGCAAGAGGAGGCAGTAAAGTCACGCCCGGGATTCAAGGTTAGTTCGGTTTATCGATATGAATGGCCCAATGCTTAGAGCCGCTTCTATAGGCTACGTCCAGGCATATAACCATGCCGCAGTCTCACCCAGAGGCAACAGTGGATGTCAAATTGCTGAAGCCCGAGTTGTTGCATGGTGAGACAACTCAAGGGTTCAT